CGCGTGTCATTCACTAAATATTGTAAAAGACCTCGACGGCCCTGAATGCACGTGTAACCGTGGACTCTGGGAGCTGCGGAGCCGTGGGACTTAACCTGCTCTATGGGATGCTGCTCCCTTGCGTGCACGTATACGCCTCACTCTGTCTCTCTCTCTCTCTCTCTCTCTCTCTGTGATACTCGTGTACACTCCCTACGTAGTACGTATTTCGTACTGCGGCGCTTAGATGAAGTTACGAGGGGTTGTCAAAATTTTCAAGTTCGCACATATGTATTCTCTTTGTACGATCGAAAGGGAGGACACGTACGTTTTTATTTTCGATTCTGTTCGTAAATTCTTCTTTTTTTTTTTCAACTGGTCCATTGATAGGGGGATGTATTTTAATTTTTTTTTTCTTTTCTTTTTCTTTTTCTTTGCCTCCAATACGCTGCCGCCGGTGGGGATAGACACTGTGGCTCAGGCGATATCTTCTGCTGCTTGGTTTTTTGCAAAAATTTATATGCATTCTTTCTTTCGACGTTTCCTTATCTTCTCTCCGTGCCGCGTATCCTCGCTTTTGCGATATTAATCCGACGTCGAATTATATGCAGATGTAGGGATACTCATAGGCGGGATTGCGTATCCTCCTGCGATGCGATACGATACGGAGCCGCACTATGCGTTCAAGGTCGTCGCGCGATATAAAAGACGAAATTTCCATCGGCGCGACGTTGCCTCGTTCGCAAAATGCAAATTGGCAATCGCAAATAAGTGACGGTTTGTCGTAGTGTCTTCATGGTGACCCCGTTTAACGGTCACTTGGCACGAGAATTCATCGTGAGAGAATTATCTTATGGTTTGACCGTATATTTTTCACACGCACGTGTACACGTATAGTCGCGATATATCATACATCATGAAAAATCGCAATCGATAATCTATCGTGTCCCGGAGTATCCGTGTTACGTGAATTTATCTCTTATATGCATATATATATATATATATATATATATATATATATATATATATGCCTAACGGAGGTCGAAGAGCGTCGCGAAGAATCCTCGTGCTTTTATTAGCGTAAAATCTGCGGATTTCCTATGAATCATCCGGAGGCTGCGGCCGCCCGTAGTCGTGCACTTGACGGTGTACGATGGTTTGAATGAGATAAAGGGAAGTGGATGAAGATACGAGATGTCTCTTGGGGGGTAAAAAAAAAAAATAAAAAAAAATCACGTAGGAGCAAAAGTATGAAAGGTGCAAAGAAAATTTTTGGAACGTTCTTAAATATTTGGAACGGAACTTGTTCGGGACTGGTTATGGTCACGCGGATTACGGGTGTGCACGAGAGATCAGTGGTACAGTTGGGGGTAGCACGATCGTGGAGTAGTAACAGGGGTTGGAGTAAAAGAGATAAGGAGAAGAAAATAAAAAAAATAAAAATAAAAGAAAAAGATAATCGTATAGCAAAAAGTTGTTGTCGTTGTTGTTGTTGCCGCTGGATAGGATCGCGTGTTGGTAACGACAAAGAGACCGGGAGGGTCAAAGATGGCGGTTTTGGGGTAGAGCGAGGGAAT